ACTGGGAGGATGCTCGGCCTTCATTACGAGGACTTTGGAGGGGACTTTTTTTTCTCTTTGTAGGTCATGCGAGTCGCGATTGGACTCCTGACCCCGAGTTGGTGGCTGTAGCGTGGCTCATTGGCGCGGCCGGGTCTCGCTGGTGCGATCGGTGTCTTTCCTGTCTTCTTTTCTTTTTTTTTTAGATTTTTTTTTCGTCTTTTGTCGCAGTGCTATGCTGGCTTTTTTGTGCGAATGGGAGATGCAGGATGCGTGTATTTCAGTGGGTTTTATGATCGTTTCCTTTTTTTTTTTTCTCTTTCTCTCTTTCTCTCTCTCTCTGTCTCCTCTCTCTTCTCTCTCTCTCTCTCTCTCTCTCTCTCTCTCTCTCTCTCTCTCTCTCTCTCTCTCTCTCTCTCTCTCTCTCTCTCTCTCTCTCTCTCTCTCTCTCTCTCTCTCTCTCTCTCTCTCTCTCTCTCTCTCTCTCTCTCTCTCTCTCGTCCCCCCCTTCCTGCCATTTCTCGGAAGCGACAGCAAAGGCCCACACTCGGCTGCTTCCTGCGAGCCCGACGCGACCATTATCAAATACGACCACTCCCGCGAGCACACACGGCGCGAGGCCCTTCAGAGTTGCAAAACCACTCGAGTTGCACGGGCGTCGCGGTGCACGAGGCCCTCCCTCCGCTTAGTGCCCGCGGCTGCCACTCGAGCGCCCGGTCGTCCGATTGCCTGACGCGATTTTCGGGAAAGGATGCCGGGGGAAGGCCTTGTGGGGGGGGGGGGCGAGAGGGAGAGGAGGAGGGAGAGGGAGAGAGGAGAAGGAGAGAGGGAGGGAGAGGGGAGAGGGAGAGGGAGAGGGGAGGGAGAGGGAGAGGGGGGGAGGGGGGGGGAGGGAGGGGGAGGGAGGGGAGGGAGGGAGGGAGGGAGGAGGGGGGAGGGGGGAGGGATGGAGGGAAGGGAGGGAGGAGAGGGAGGGAGGGGGAGGAGGCGGGGAGGCTGTAGAGGGAAGGACGTCGGGTTGGCTCTGCCGAGCGGAGCGTGAGCACGTGGGGAAATGGCTCTTTTTTATTCTTTCTTTTTCTTTCTTTGGCCTTATTTCTTGTTTGTTGTGTCTTTTCTTTTCTCTCTCTATTTCTCGTGTCTCGCCCGTCTTTGTTGTTGTATAGGTGTGGGATTCCATGAAAAGTGCGGATTGCTCATTTTTGAAGGATTTTTAAAGCTATTTTATTTTTTATTATTTTTTTTTAATTAATGGATTCCACTTCAAACCTCGATAGCAATTTATATTATTTTATATCATATTAGTATATTCTTTAGATTAGCATATGCTTTATATTTGTGTTCGTGCTCGCATTTCTCTCCTCTTTGTTTCGGTACGAATAATAATACCAGTGGGAGGGAGGGAGGGTACGTAGAACGGCGTGTTATAAGAGTAATTAACAGGTAAACACGTCGGGAGTGTTCATTGGATCGCGTTGTTTGTTTCCGCGTGGGCGTGTGGGCGTGCAAAAGCGGATGTTTACGGGTTCTTTGGCTGGGAATGGGATGGAAAAGGAGCAGAACACGTGTGCGGGGAGTAAATA